AAAGGATTGCAGAACAGTAAAGAAAAATATTGTATAAGCAAATCCCATGAGGGACCTTCATAATTATCCTGTTCCCATAGGAGAACCATGGCAGGGTAACAAATAACATGCCTACTAGACTTCAGAGAAGTGAAGGGTCTGCAACAGAGAAACATTTTCTTAGAATTTAGAAGAAGGGTAGACACATGATGATCCCTCACTATGCAGACAGAAAAATAGCAGGGACACCATGAAAATGAGTTAAATTTAACCTCCTTGGCGGTATGATTCTTTCCAACTTTTTGTGCTGAAAGCGGTACCATTTTTTTGCATGGAAATATGTAGTTTTTTATTGTAGGCTGTAATTTTTAGGAATAACTCACTGAAATCTGTCTGAACAAGAGTCTATTAAACATTCCGGATATGATAAAATTTGAAACACGAAATCATAAATTATAATTTAATAAATAATCATAAAAAATAATAATATAATAATAATAAATTTAATTCAATAATATAATCAAACCAAAAACACTGAAATTTGAAATACAGAGGCAAATTCGCACATCGCTGAGCAAAGTCGCAAAATTGTTTTCAGTGTCTGATGACGAATTTCCCCACGAATCATTATCACTCAATTCTGCAAGTGGTTCTGATTTACTATCGCTGTTCTAAAACCGCTTTTGACGTAAAGGGACACTTTTTGGACGCCATGGACTTTTCTCAGTTTCCAGGCAGAAAGAACATTCAAAATGCAGGCAGGGCACAGGACAAAGCAGTAGGGACAAAATGTATGTGAAATGCATTGAAATAGCAATGACAGCAAAAAATGACATTTTTTAAAAAATTCAAATTTCCCGCTGGTTCCGGCGCCCGTACGTCCCGACGTCACAGGGACCGGAACACAGAAGCCGGATGCCGGCATCGGCCGGAGGAGATGGTCGGGGACGCTGGAGGGGACAGATCGCGGGAGCGAAGGACAAGGTAAGTACTGCAGGAACCCCCAGAGAACGCCGCATGGTAAGCCCGAGTGTAGCTCGGGGTTACCGCTTTTGGTATAGAAATTTTACCCCGAGCTACACTCGGGATTACCGCTAAGGAGGTTAAGAAGATAACCCCATGAAGAGCAAGCGGAGATCAGATACCTTCTTAGAGGGAAAAAACTTACAGAAACGCACATTAAAAAAAAGTCCAAGAAGAAAATTGAAGTCTATCATGGTGGACAGAATAGCTATAATCTCAGAAAGTCCATCATTAACAACCAAGATGGTCTTATTCTGAGTGACTGGGCAGATGACTGGTTAAAATCCAAAATCACCAATTCATAAAAGGGAGAAATGTACTTAGGGAAAAATACCAAATAATCATGTAAGCCCCAAAGGGGTAATCAGGAAAAGAACCTGGTACAAGTAAAGCAAGGCTAACAGTCAGCTGGGCCTTAAGTTTGCATGCAAGGTCTACCCCTTGATAGTTGAACTGACCTCCTAAATTCTTATACAGGCCTGCGGTATACATTGTTAGAATATCAACTGAAAATGATTTAAACAATATCAGAAGTGATTATAAGAGTGGGCCACAGGTCCTGTGGAGCTATAGAAGCTACTGCTGAAAGCTAACCTGTAGGAATAGGGGGTCCCTTCTAGACACAAAACATTCCTAAAAACCTGGACCCCATGGATACAGTACATCATCCTTCCATGTCCCTGACAGCTACACACTGTTATAGGCATTAATGGTCCTGAATTTCTGGCTAGGGTGTCCCCGATGTCCTTCTTCTGCTCTCTTTCCTTACTTTCAATCCTGTTCCATTCCTTCCTATCTGATCTTTCTCTTGGCCCCCCCATCCCAGGAGGCCTTGGCTACGATCCGTTTTTCTTGACTTCCCTCTCTGTAATAACTGGCTCTATCTAATTCAAGAGTGTGTCCTAGTTCATGGTTAATACACGTTTGCCCTCTCCCCTTACCCCTCCCACCCTTCCTTCCTTACCTATTTACATGCAGTTCACAATACGGGTATAGCTACTACACCTCTGGCTTGTAGAATGTTACGCCTACTGATCTTTACTGTAATAATTAATATGGTTTTCTATAGTGGTGCACCAAAATTTCAGTTGCCAAATTGTTTCGGCCTAAAACAGCCCTTTCGGCATTTTGCTGAAATAAAAAAACTGTCCGATACAGGTGCCCGAAAGTACTGTTATCCAGTGTTCTTTGCCAAGTGCAGTACAGACAGAGAAACAGTAGATGCGGCTGTGGTAACTTAGTTCCTCCCAGCTCTGTTCCCCCCCTGGGGAGAGATGTGGGTTGTGCTGCCCCTCCTCCTACAGGAGGGAGGTGCGGCTGCATAGTGATGCCTTGGTGCATGCCCAGTGTTAGTGGCGGCGCCGCTTCATGGAGTTGGTTCACGGCTATAACAGAGTGAGGGGCGCAGGCTGTGCATTAAGGAACTGGTGAAAACTGTGCATTAAGGAAGAGGCGAAAAAAAAAATGTGGGGCAACTGCCCAAGTTCCAAAGCAGCTGCCTCTTGAGCACGCGCTGCCCACAAATAGCTTAAATGCTACATGCCCTTTTTGCTTTCATTGTCCCAGGATTACAGCGTTGGGCTCACTAGTGTTGTTTGCACAGAATCTGATGGGCAGCTACAGTTCCCAGACCCTCTCTCTACACCTTCTGTTGGCAGCTCCTTGGCTTCTCTGGTGGTGGTGGGAGTACAATCTGCATTACACCCACTGGATGCGAATTGGCATGCGATTTGCAAATCGCATGCCAAGTCACACCCTTTGTCCAATGGTCATATCGGTGTGGTTCCGAGTTGGTCAGAGCTGCACCAATTTCTAAAGTAGTACCCCGGTCACGTCAAGACCAAGTCGGAACCGCACCGATATGACCATTGGACAAAAGGGTGCGATTTGGCATGCGATTTGCAAATCGCATCCAGTGGGTGTAATGCAGATTTCAAAGCCGGATGACATGTCAATTTCAGGTGTGATTTGCAAGACATCTGACACAGATGTCTATGAAATCGTACCAAAAGTAGTACATGCACTGCTTTAGAAATTGGTGCGGCTCCGACCATGCTGGAACCACACTGACATGAATGCTCTAATTGTGGACAATAGGGTGCGACTTGGCATACGATTTTTAAATTGCATGCTAATTCACATCCAGTGTGACCAGGGTGTTAGAGTCACTAGTGTTGATGATGTTGATAGGAAGCTGTACTGCCCCAAACCTCCCTCCATCTTGGCTTGTGTACTGACTGAAGCTGGTGGCTTCCTACAGATGCCCCTCCCGAATTCATACTCCATTGTACAGCCTAAGCTGCCGGAGGTTCTGGGCAGCACAGCTTTCTATCCATATCATGAACACTAGTGACAGCTACATAAGGTTCTTTGCAAGCTCCACCCACTGCCACCAAAATATATCTATTTTATTAACAAACTGCGCATTTCGATTTTCGGCCAAACGCACTCCTGAATTTTCGGTTTTGGCACCAGAATTTCTATTTCGGTGCACCCCTAGTTTTCTATGACTTATGGACTCACTCTGAAACTTTTTTTTCACGTTAGTCATGTTTGAGCATTTGGACAGGTTACATTGTGTAACTTATTGAACTTGAGATAGGGGGTCCCTGACTCCAGGTTACAGGTGTCGGTTTCATTTATGGATACAGGTGAATTGGCCCTAGAAACAGTAGGGGGGTATAGGGTGAGGTCAGTGATTGAAGGTGGACTGTTATCTTGAGTGTCTTTGAAAAGATTTATTGCACCACTTAGCTGAGATAAACAACCAGGATCAGGAGAGGCAAGGCCTCACATTATCAACAGCCCAAGCAGTTGCTACAAATGGCAAGAGGAGTAGAATCAGAATCTAGTCATTAAAAGTGAAGTTCACCTTTAGTAACATGTTACATCTATATTTAGTGTGTAACATGTTTCTATGCATCAGTTTTTACCTGCAAATGCATGTACATTTATAGTTTTTTTGAAAAGGTTTTATCCTTTAGGCATGTTATTAGTGACTGGCACTGAAAGCTGTGTCACAGCTCCATACCTAGATAGCATTCTGTGGGTAGCCAGTACAGCAGTACTTAAGTGCTGAAAGTCACATAGTGAACTATGTTAGCCACAATTGGAGGTTTTCCTCATAGAGAGAGGCACCAGAGGCTATGGAGAGTGCTCTGTAGCTGACACAGTACACAAGGGTCTGTTAATGTGGTTCTATGCATGAAGGTTATAAACCTTCAGTATGCAGTTTCCCGGAGCTCCCCTTGCACTTACAAAAGCCCGATTGCTATCTAGCGATGTGCAAATGAACAGCTGCTCTTCTGGGTCTCTTCACTGGCTCCTGTGGCTGTCAATAACAGACAGCGAAGAAGAAGCAGGGGCGAGGCCGAGCCCCATTCTTTGTGTCTTATGGACACTGAGAGTGGGGATTGGGAGACCATGCACAAGTAGTTTGCTATGGGGGCATTCAATATGAGCCAGGAGCAACAGTGGGGGACTGGAGAAGAGGAGGACTGGGACTGCCCTGAGCAAAATCATTGCACAGAGCAGGAAAGTATAACATGTTATTTAAAAAAAAAAAAAAAAAAAACAAAACTTTAAACCACTTCCTGCCCGTGTCCATGGAGGTCCTTGAGTTCAAGTAGTTATACCAGGAGGATGCCTGCGGCATCATGCATCTGAAAAGTGTCAGAAATGGCAGGGTAGGGAAGTGGTTAATATCACTTTAAGCTACACAATACAGAGCCAAATGCCTAAAGGTCGCATTCCGGGCTTTCTCACAGAATTAATTTTCAGAGCTAGGTCACACCAGAGGCTGTGCCACAGCTCTTCATCTGGAGAGCACCTTATGGCTTACTAACACAGGGCTCTAAGGTATGGAAAGCCCCATACTGCAAAGCCCACTGCCTGAGGGTCACGTTCCAGGCTTTTCCTGCAATCTTTGGTCCAACTGGGTCAATGTATGGCCTCTTAAGCTACCGCTGGGTATTTGTTGAAGAAACATCATCTACACTCTCTGTCTGGACAGTGCCGATTGGCCATGTGCTAATCACATGAACCCTCCCAAAGAAACCCCCCCTCCCCCCCCAAAAAAACTCTGCACATGCTCAGTTTAGTGTGTATTGCTAGAGTGAATCCTACAGCTCTGTACTATCATCAGATGGATTGGAGACAGAAGAAGGGGAGGATCAGAGAAGTCAGGATCAAACAGCCTTTTTACACAATGTGGAAGATTAACCCCTTAGGTTCCACAATGAGTATAACAAGCATGCTTTACTGTATACACAGACTGATTTTACGGTTGTGGGTTTAGCAACACTTTAATGTCCACTTCAATTTCACTGTACAGTTGCAAGAAAAAGTATGTGAACCCCTTGGGTTTACGTGGAGTTTTGCATGAATTGGGCATAAAATGTGCTCTGAACGTTATCTAAGTCACAACAATAGAAGAACACAGTCTGCTGAACATAATACTACACAAACATTAGATGTTGCCATGGTTTAATTGCACATAACATGTAAACATTCACAGTGCAGGAAGGAAAAAGTATGTGAGGCCCTAGCTTAATGACTTCTCCCAGAGCTAATTGGAGCCAGGAGTGAGCCAACCTTGACTCCAATCAGTGTGATGATATTGGATGTGTTGCTGACAGCTGTCCTGCCCTTAAAAAACACACACCTGTTTTGGGTTTACTGGTTTCAAGAAGCACTGTCTGATGTGAACCATGCCTCGTAGAAAAGAGCTCTCAGAAGACCTACGATCAAGAATTGTTGACTTGCATGAAGCTGGAAAGGGTTACAAAAGTATCTCCAAAAGCCTTGATGTTCATGTGTCCATGGTAAGACAGACTGTCTACAAATGGAGAAAGTTTAGCACTGTTGCTACTCTCCCTAAGCGCGGTCCTCCTGTAAAAATGACTGCAAGAGCACAGCGCAGAATGCTGCATGAGGTAAAGAAGAATCCCAGAGTGTCAGCTAAAGACCTACAGAAATCTCTGGCACATGCTAACATTTTTGTTGACACATCTACAATAAGGAAAACATTAAACAAGAATGGAGTACATGGGAGGACACCACGGAGGAAGCCATTGCTGTCCAAAAAGAATATTGCAGCACGTTTGAAGTTTGCAAAAGAGCACCTGGATGTTCTACAGCACTACTGGCAAAATATACTGTGGACGGATGAAACCAAGATTGAGTTGTTTGGGAAGAACACACAACACTATGTGTGGAGAAAAAAAGGCACAGCACACCAACATCAAAACCTCATCCCCACTGTAAAACATGGCGGAGGGAGCATCATGGTTTGGGGCTGCTTTGCTGCCTCAGGGCCTGGACGGATTGTTGTCATTGATGGGAAAATGAATTCCAGAGTTTATCAAGACATTTTGCAGGAAAACGTACGACCATCTGTCCGCCAACTGAAGCTCCGCAGAGGATGGGTGATGCAACAGGACAATGACCCAAAGCATACAAGTAATTCAACAAAACAATGGCTGCAACAGCACAGAATACGCCTTCTGGAGTGGCCCAGTCAGAGTCCTGACCTCAACCCGATTGAAATGCTGTGGCATGACCTTAAAAGAGCGATTCACACCAGACATCCCAAGAATATTGCTACACTGAAACAGTTTTGTGAAGAGGAGTGGTCCAAAATGACTCCAGATCGTTGTGCAGGTCTGATCTGCAACTACAGGAAACGTTTGGTTGAGGTTATTGCTGCCAAAGGAGGGTCAACTAGTTATTAAGTCCAATGGTTCACATACTTTTTCCTCCCTGCACTGTGAATGTTTACATGTTATGTGCAATTAAACCATGGCAACATCTAATGTTTGTGTAGTATTATGTTCAGCAGACTGTGTTCTTCTATATTTGTGACTTAGATGACGTTCAGAGCACATTTTATGCCCAATTCATGCAAAACTCCATGTAATCCCAAGGGGTTCACAAACTTTTTCTTGCAACTGTATATCAAGCAAAATGTACTTTAAACCTATACTGTACAATTCAATATTACTGTATACTAAAGCCTAACTCCAGGTTTTGTGTTACAATAAATAGTTTGTTTGGGCCAAGCTATTTAAAGACGAAAGTGGTTGCTTAGAAATCCAATGCCCAGCATCTGATTAAAATTTGACCAGTGCCTGTTGCACTAGCTGAATTTCGATACATGTATACCCAGCTTAAGATTCATAACTGCATGAGTTAATTTGCTTCATGATCATTTCCTCATGAAATGCCCAAATCACAACAAATACTGCAGAAATGTGGAAACTTTTTTTTCTCTCATCAAATGTAAGCTTACCTACTGAAAGCCTCTATTTGAGGAATTGATATTTTATCTCCACTTTAAAGCTGCAGACCAGGACTTCAGCTCCTTTGTAAAAAGTGAATGTATACTATGAGTTAAGTCCAACGAGGTGTGACACCTCCTGGACTTGTTTCTATTATTTACATCTGACAGGTTTTGGGAACTCCTAGAAGACAACTATCGCTGTATTGTCTGGAGCCCAAAGCTGGACTATCGGGATCTTCAACAGTAGAGTTCATGCAGCTGTTCCTGCCCAATCACAAAAGCCTTTGTATTATGTGAACATATTCACAAAATACAAAGGATTCTGTAAATGGACAGCTGAGAGAAGGGGCAGGTATAGTTGTTCTGTATGCTTCTCTCCTCTCACAGCCCCAAGAGTGTATCCTCCGCAGAGCCATAAACTTGTCAGATGTAAACAAGTCCTATGATGTGCATGGTATCTCAAGTTATCTCAACTCATAGTGTGCCTGCACTTTTTACATAGTGACTTAAGTCCTGGAATTCAGCTGGAAGCGAGGCTTGGAACACAGCCACCTCCAGTCCCACTTCCGGTACTGCACCTTGGACTTCACTGGAGAACTCAGTGAAAGACTTCACTACGGCAGCCTGGCACCCCCCAAAAGGAGTCTCCGTATGACGTCAGCGGCATCTTGCGGCCCGGTCCTCATCTGACATGCCTCCCTGCTGCCAGGAAAGATGGACGAAGAGGCCTGTCCACGGAATGAGGGACACCCCCCTGGGCCTGGAAGGCTCCGTACCAACAGAAGCCCTGGAGTGGATAAGTGGAAGCCTGCCCTCCCTGGCTCGGCTACTACCCTCCAGGAAGGACCTCTAGCCCCCCCGCCTTAGGTCTTGCAAAAAAACAAATGTTCCGCTGCCAGGGAAACACAATCAAGAACTAAGGAGTGGAGGGAAGGGCAGGGAATTTAAACTCTGTCAATTGTTGTTTGTGTTTCCTGTCAGGTGGAGCTAGTCATCTTTCAAGTGTGCCGTCCTGGAAGATGACAAGAGAAAATTGCCTTGTTGATATCAACGGATAATGTGCAGACTGGTTGCTGCGACATTCAGATGATAGGGTCAGAATTTGGCGTATACAACATAAAAGCATGGATCCATCCATCCTTGTATCAACGTTTCAGGCTGGTGGTGGTATAATGGTGTGGGGGATATTTTCTTGGCACTAGTACCCAATAAAGTGGCCAGTGAATGTATTCTTTATGCGGTCAGCAACAGGTTAAGCTTTGAAAATAAGAACTGACTGGTAGCCATGCACAGCCGCCCCTGATTCTGGCTGCCATAGTCTTAGTAAATTTCCCTCAAGGTGTTCTGTACAAAATATGTTATCAAGGAATGGGTGACCTGCATGCACGCAGGTGCACACACACGAGAAAAGCAACACAGAGAGATCCTGCACATAGAAGAAGGGATGTACTGGTGGAAATGACATTGTTCTCCAAATAGAGAGCTCATACCTTAGGGTTACAATTAGACGTTCTTCAGGGGTTATGCTCTTCCTCATATTTGTGGTCATCCTCATTAATCTAGGACGCAGTACCTCCAAAAGAGCATCAAAAGTATCAACAGACATCCGAGTGTAGCTGAAAAACTTCTCTGGATACTTTCGAAGATCTCTGAACAAAATGGAGAAATGCCCTATAGAAAGCCTCTGAGAGATTAGCGGATGAACCCAGAAGCGACGCTGCCGTTTTCTCTTTTGATCCAAGGCTTTCTTTCTTCTCCTCAGCAGGAGCATCATTGTGACCATCTTGCTCATATCATCGTAAAAATCCATTGTAGGTTATTGACTCTTCATTTATCAACACAGATAGGATTAAAGGAGAACATTTAGTGTAAAGTTGAGGCACAATGGGGTCTCCTGGGTAAAAGAAGAAATACATTTTGCAATAGATCATTTATTGGGGCAAAACTACAAGCTTACATGTTACTTTTCAGAATTCCACTCTGAATTAATCTAAAATAGATATTCGTCAGTTGGATGACAACTATGAAATAGTGTTTTGTATATGGTAATTGTTCTCATCAATTTCTACACCCCCTGAAAACGTATCAGATTTTGTTTTATGCTTAGTGTGCTAGAACAGTGGTCTTTAAACTGTGGCCTGCCTTTATCTGGCCATAGGTCCCCCAAAACAAGGCGCTCTTCTCAAACTGACACCAACAATGGGGCACCATTCCTCCCATGGACACCAATGATGAGGCACAATTTCTTCCCTGATATCAACAATTGCCACTGTTCCTCCCCCATACATCAATGATGGGACATAATTCCTTCCACTGACACACACAACAATGGGGCACTATTCCTATGGCTGCCACCAAAAATGTGGGTACTATTCCCCTTGCTGACAGCACCATTCATCCCACTAACGCCAAAGATGGAGCACTATTCCTTCCTCTGAAACCAAAGATGGAGCACTATTCCTTCCACGGATACCAGCAATTCGCACTATTCCTCCCACTCATATGAATGATGAAGCATTGTTTATTCCCACTGATGCAACAGCATTTTCTCCTCACAATGGCCATAGTCCGGCCCCTGGAATGCCTGCAAGACAGTAAACTGGCCCTTTGTTTTAAAAGTTTGGAGACCCTTGTGCTAGAACAATATAATTTCCCAACAGCTGTGTATCTGACTAATTAAATGGAAAACCATCCCCTTAACCTAAACTCCAGGAAGATATTCAAAAAAGTTACATATTTAAATCAGCGGGGGGGAATTACCCAAAACCTCAAGCAGACAGAATCTGGAGCAGCTGTGACAGTAACCAATCCGCTTCTAACTACAGCCTTTTCACTTACAGCTGATCTCCAGGTTTTAGTAACTTTAAATAGTTTGTTTGGACCAAGCTGGTCCATACAAACTATTTACTTCACTGTTTAAATGCTAAGTAGCCTCAGCTACATACAGTATACAGTGCTGGGCTCCAGCAGCATGACGGGAAGATCCTATCCAGTTCCTGAAACAAAATCATGTCAGGCTGAGAACTGCTCAGCCATTCACAGGAAGGTTTGTATTCCATGAATGAGTTGGAGATCATGATGTCACCAGCCCACCTCTCCACAACAGCCAATCAGTGGAAGCTTTTTACTCATGTATTCACTCGATTTTGTTTTGAGAGCAGGACAGGAAGTTTCAGTCCCAATGCTGGAACATAGCACTGTATGCTGTATGTAACTGAGGCTACATGTAGTTTATACAGCACTCACAGCCACTGCATTGGATAGTGAAGGAAATAGTTTGCCTGGACCAGCTTGAAACCTGGAATTTTGCTGTAAGCTAGGAAAATTAAAAATAGAAGCGGATTGGTTGCCATGCAGAGCTGCTACAGATTCTGGCTGCTCCAGGTTTGATAATTTTTCTCAATTTATTTTACATATAGCTAGCAAAGGTACTCAAATTTGCCTTGATATCAGCATCTGTCATCTGCTGCAAATTAGCACTAAGGCATAGTTTACACTTGCAGCCAGGGGGTGGTAAAAACAGATGGTTGAGACATGGTTTTTCTGCCCCTTCCCCAAACCACCTCCGATAAAGTAGTTGTAAAGGCTCAAGGTTTTTTTTACCTTCATGCATTCTATTCTGTTTAGCACCCCCCCTGCCCACCCTAAAACTTACCTGAGCCCCTTCCTGATCCAGCGATGTGCATAAGAGCCTCTGCTCTCCTGGGTCTCTCCCTCCTCATTGGCTGAGACAGGATTGGCAGTCACTAATTCCCACTACTGTCAATTAGAGCCAGTAAGCCAACGAGGAGAGAGCAGGGGAGGAACAAGCTGCTCTCCATGTGTGTAAATGAACACACAGAGCAGTGGCACAGGAGCAAGCCTAGTCAGGTGCACAATAGCAAACTGGCATATTCGGCAGGCAGTATCGCCATCAAACACAACTCATTAAGGTTAATGGGGCCACAATGAAACTGTGTGCAATGCAAGTGGTTGTGGCAAAATGGTGTGGGCCTTACAGGGTTAAAACAAGCAGTGAGGAGGTGACATACTACAACTTCCAGCTGTCAAAGCCCTCTGAAAAGCAAGTGTGAATGGGCACTTAGGACTCATGCACATGGGCATATGAATTTATGCACCAAACATGCTGCCATAGGTTGGCAGTTTGGCGCTCTTATAAGCATATGAGTGTAATCTAAATCTATTGGCTAGAATATTTATTTATTCTAGCCATTAGAATTATGCTCATCTCCAAGCACAGCTGTGAGGCATTTTTATTTTTGTTATGCCTTTCAACGTTCTCTCACCCATAACAGTTTGGTTAGAAAAAACATGCCTTTGGAAAAAAAAAAAAGTACCAGTTACACTTACCGGTAACGGTGTTTCTGGGAAATCTTCCAAGACGGCAGACCTAAGAGATGACTAGCTCCACCTGACAAGAAACACAATCAAAAATTTACAGGGTTTAAATTCTCCGCCCTCTCCTCCACTCCTCAGTTTATGCAAGAGTATTCCGGCATCCTGGTGCATGAAAGGTATTATTCCTCAAATTATTCAACACCAGACATGGCTTGTCCATCTGGCTGCTTGGCAGATCTGTTCAATCGATGCTCTGGCCCTCTCTGCTGAAGAGGTCGCCAGTGATCTAGTACAGTGAGCCCTCAGGTGTAAAGGATGGCTTGTCTGATCCATCTAGCTATTGTCGGTTTAGATGCTTGCTGTCCCTTCTTCGGGCCGCTAAGCAAAATCAAAAGGTGACTCGACCTCCTAAAGTCACTTACTCTACCCAAATATGTCAGCAAACATCGTTTGACATCTAAAAAATGAAAACTCTTTTCCCGCTAGGGTTTTGACAAAAGGACAGTATTATTATTATACAATATTTATATAGCGCCAACAGTTTGCTCAGCGCTGTACATTATAATGGGAGACAGTACACAAGACAGTACAGTAACAATACAATACACGAGGGGTTCGAGGGCCCTGCTCCTTGGAGCTTACAATCTAGGAGGGAGGGGATAGTGGTACAGGAGGAAATAGCTGTGGGGGATGGAGTGGTAGGAAGAGTGGAGAAGATCGGAAATTAGTTGAGGGCGGGCTAGGCTTCCCTGAAGAGATGGGTTTTCAGGGTGCGCCTAAAGGTGAGGAGGGTAGGCGACAGTCTGATGGATTGGGGTAGTGAGTTCCAGAGGATGGGGGAAGCCCTGGAGAATGGCATGGGAGGAGGAGACCAGGGAACTACAGAGAAGGAGGTCTTGTGAGGAGCGGAGAATACGTTTTGGGTGGTAGATGGATATCAGGTCGGTGTAGTTTGGGGCAGTGTCATGGACAGCTTTGTACGTCAATGTTAGTAATTTGAATTTTATGCGTTGGGCAATCGGAAGCCAGTGGAGGGATTGGCAGAGGGGGGTGGCTGATACGGAGCGGTTAGTAAGGTGGATGAGTCTGGCCGCAGAATTCATGATAGACTGAAGCAGGGAAAGCCTGTGATGAGGTAAGCCGGTGAGGAGGGAGTTACAGTAGTCAAGTCGTGACAGAGACAATCTCGTGTCCTATGAAATTGTGATGCCACCTTGGGCAAATAAAGAGGATCTTGTCTAAGCACTATGCTGTCCTCTACTACCACCAGGAAGGGTTCCTTGATCAACAAGCTCTGAAGGTCGCCTATCCTTGCCGTTGCAATGGCTAACAGGAAGGCTAACTTAAAAGATAACACCCTAACCGAAATCTGTGCCACTGGCTCAAACAGTGGCTTGGTTAACGCCTCTAACACCAAGGTTAGATGCCAAGCCGGAAAACTATGTATCTTAATGGGGTCATTCTTTCCCTGCAGGTTGAAGATTCTCAGACTGGCCGCCAGCTTGAATGGAAGGGCTCGGAACTGTCAATGACTGACCCCCTGTTCTGTGAATATAGAGAAACCGTAAGGATTGGTCATTTGAGACAATTGGTACGTGGAGGTAGGCATCCCTGAACTCCACAGTGGCCATAAACACTCCCTTGAGCAGAAGTTTCTGTACACTGTAAATACTCTCCATACGGAACTTTTTGTACCGCAGGAAACCGTTCAACCTTCTTAGGTTTATGATCAATCGGAATTTCCCCTAGGGCTTCAGGAGTGCGAAGACATGGAAATAAAACCCCCAGAAAAGCTGGTCCATCGGCACAGGGACAATTACCTCCTAATCCACTAAATCACTGATACCCTCAAGAGACCCTTTGACTTGTCTCTGGGGGGATAAATCAACACATAGGCTGGAGGGGGGAGTGAAGAGAATTCCTTATCAACCGCAGGAGTACGGGCTCTCTGAAATATTCCCCCTTTTGCTGGAGGAACCTGGACAATCTTCCGTCCACCCTGAGATCTATGTCATTTGGGATCCTTACTGGTGGGTTTGGAGCTGGAAAAAAGGAAACTCCTTTTTTGTCTCTCCTTACTGGCCCATTACTTAGGAAAGCCTTTTCTAAGCCTTTGCTAGCTCTGATTAAGGGGAGCTCGAAAAAAACTTCTTCCCCTCATCCTTCTTGGCCTTGACGGGGAATTTTTTCCTCTTTTCAGTGGACCTTGACAGCACCTGGTCTAGCCCTGAGCCAAACAGCAAGGAACCCTCAAAGAGCATACCATACAGTAGGGCTCTTCATGTCTAATTGCCCTCCCAGACCTTAACCCAGACCACCCTCCGGGCTGAGTTGATAAGCGCTGATGTCTTCACCAGCAGCGTTTGCTAAGTAGGCAACTGCCTTATTGACCACTTCCAGGGATTCTAACACCTCTTCAGTCTAGGCTCTCCACTTTTTCTTGGAACCCTGGGAGACACAATCAATTACTCT